AGGAGGTGGGCGGCCGGGCGCGCGACCGCCTGGACGAGGTGCGCGAGCACGTGGAGGAGGTGCGCACCAAGGTGGAGGAGCAGGCCGAGGCCTTACATAAGCGCCTCAAGGGCTGGTTCGAGCCCATGGTGGAAGACATGCGGCGCCAGTGGGCCGATCTCATCGAGAAGGTGCAGTCGGCCGTGGGAGTAAACAGCCCCGCGCCCGCCGAGAACCACTAGGCACCCAGCACCCACCCGACCCACCTCTTCCCCTCGCCAGCAGGAGGCGCTGTCCCAACCCTGCTGGCCTCCTGAAAGGCCCTCACTCATTAAATAAAGGTTCACCGAGCTTCGCAGCACCCACTGGGCCTCTGAGTGTGATTCTTCATGGTTTTGCCTCGGCTTCTTTCCTTCCCCACACCGGCCACGGTTTCCAGTTCTGTGGCCTTCACCTGGGTGTGTGTGTGGGGGGGGGTCTTTCTGTTTTTGTTGCTCTTGATTTTGTTTTTGTTTTTTGAGACAGGATCTCACTATGTAGTTGAGACTGACCTGGATTATGTAGCCCAGGCTGGTCTCGAACTCACAGCGATTCTCCTGCCTCAGCCTCCAGAGTGCTGGGATTACAGGCGTGTGCCACCACGCCCGGCTCTCAACTCTCAGTTTTGATTACCTCTGTCCCTTTATAACTTATTTTTTATAGTACTGGGAATTGAACCCAAGGCCTTCGAACTGAGCTACATTCCCAGTTTGTTCTTTCTTGTAGTACTGGAACTTGAACCTTGGGTGCTCTACCACTGAGCTACGTCCCTCGGCCCTTTTTATTATGTATTTATTTTTGTTAAAACAGGGCCTCACTGTACCTTAAACTGGCATTAGACTATGAAGCCCACGTTGACCTCAAACTCGTGACCCTCCTGCCTCATCCTCCCGAGTGCTGGGGTTACAGTCGTGCCCCACTTGGCCCAGCTCCTTTCCAAGTCTTAACTTTCGTCTCTGCGCCTTCTGTTTTCTTACCTGCCCATCCCAGACACAGATCAGAGCTATCCCTGAGCTAAATTCTGCCTTTGCTTCACAAACCTGGGCCTCACTATTCAAGTCCTGGAGATTGAAACCGAGGACCTCCGCACCGAGCTGCATCCCAGGCAGCGCTTTTTTATTTGTTTTTTTGAGCCGGGGAATCTCTTGCTAAATTGCCCAGAATGGCCTCGAACTTTGCATTCCTATGCCTCAGCCCCACCCCCAGTCACGGAGCCTGGCGAGTTTTCCCCAGCACCTGCAGCTGTGACTCCAAAGGCCCTGAAAGCAAAGCCGCCTCCTTCCCTCCCAGGCCCTTTGGTCTGCTGCTCCCCCGCAGGCTCATCCGCTGTTTTTCTCCCCTCCCTTATCTCTTCCTCCTACGGTTTTCTTGCCCCTCCCCCCTCATCGGTTTTACCCCTTCCACGGCTGCCTCTTCCTTCCCGGAGTTCACTGGGCATCGCTCCCCTTGGGCCGCGCTTCCTGCCTCACCCTGGTTCTCTTTGTTATTTTGTTTTTCGAGACAGTCTTGCTTTGTAACCCAGAATGCACTTGGGATCCTCCTGCCTCAACTTCCCAGAGAGCCAAGATAACAGGAGGCAGAAGGCTCTGCTGTTGTCTTTCCCAGTGCCCTTTCCTGGTGCTGGGTCCGGCTGCCTTCCGGTGGCCAGGGGGCAGGGGAGACACGAGTCGGCACCTCAGCACCCCCGTGGGGCCAGGCCGCCAGCTGGGGCTGGGAGGCGGCACAGGTCCTGGGCACCCTGCTCAGTCCCTTCCCCACCCACTCAGTTCTCAGCCCTGGGCAGGCTGGGGCTTGAGTCTGGGGGCCTGGCCCAGCCCCTGCCGCCTTTGGCACAGCTGGAACATGGCGATGTCCTGGCATGGAGGCAGCTCCGTCCCAGAAATGACTCACAGGGCTCCAGACCTAGTGGGCTGATGCCCAGGGATAGGGCAACGCCCTCAAGCCTCAGTTTTCCCAGTGTCACTGAGGAAGGCAGTTGGCAGCCTCAGCCTTTTTTTCTCTCTCTCTCTTTTTTTTTTTTTTTTTTTTTTTTGGATATGTTTTACTTAGCCTTGGTTTTTTTTTTTTTTCTCTCTTGAGATAGGATCTCTGTAGTCCAGGCCGGCCTTGAACTCACTATGTAACCCAGGTTGGCCTTGAAGTCGCAGCGGTCCTCCTGCCTCAGCCTCCAAAGTGCTAAATCTTGAATGTGCCAGAGTGGAGGGATGTGAGCGTGTATTACTCCGGAGAGAATCCAGGGCCTTCAAGCTGAGCTGTTTGCCGAGACTTTTTAAAAATTCTGTTTATTTTTAAGACAAAGTCTCACTAAATTGCTCAGGCTGGAGTCAGACTCCTGCCTCAGCCTCCCAAGTAGCTAGAATCACAGGCTGTGTCACCACGCCCACAGTGAGTTGCCAGTTTTAAGCAGATGTGGCCGTCCCACACTGCACCAGCCCCAGTCAGACCTCAAGGGAGGTGGGAGGGGGCTAGGAAGGGACATCAGGGACAGAGACTGGCAGGGGCTGCCATAGGTGAGGTGGGCAGTGCTGACCCCAGCAGGGATCTCCAGAGAGAGAGCCAGGATCTGAGAACGGGGAGGTCAAAGAGTCCTCCCTTACCTCTCACTAATTCTAGAATGCTCTTGCCTGTGCCTCAGTTTCCCCATCTATACACCAGAAACCCATGTGACAGAGGAAGATGAGTCTGGCAAAACACGGGTGTTGCCATTCGAGCCTTACAAGGTCAGGACTTCAGAAGCCAGGTGTGGGGCTGCAGGCCTGTTGTCTTAGCCTCAGGAAGCTGAATCAGGAGAATCACCTAAAGTTTAAGGCCAGCCTCCGCTACATAGAGTACAAGGCCAGCCTGAATTATGTATGGAGATGCTGTCTAAACAAAACAAAACACACAAAAATAAAAAAGGAACTGCCTGCCTGGATGTTTGGGCGCAAGCTAGGCTCTGAGGAGGAAGCAGGTCGTCCAGCCAGGGGCCCTCAGGGACTGGAAGCTCGGAGTCGGCCCAGGCATGTTGCAATGCTGCCAGGCTGGCGTCTGTACTGTCCCTTTCACAACCACCCTCTACCCCAGCGCTGGCACAGTTGCAGGGGCCCGAGGCCAGCCACCCTCCCCACCAGCTGCCGGGTCACTGTCGGTCAGAGGCAGCCCCTCGGGAAGGGTGTGCTGGGGGGCTGGGAGCAAAGGCAGTGTTGAGGGGGCAGGCGGAGGAGAGGGGTTGGGGGCTGCAGCCAAAGGTCCGCACTACCCTCCTGCTGCCCAGACAGGCGGAAGAGACCCATCCCAGACAGGAAGAAGGGAGAGGAGAGGTAACTTGAGCGCAGAGCCCAGGAGAGGGAGCAAGGAGAGAGAAGATGCATTATACACGTGCACTGCGCCAACTCCCCACGATGAAGGGAGTCATTAGTACTGCAGACTAAGAGAAATAAAACCCAGAGCCAGGCACAGTAACAGGTGCCTGTAATCCCAGGAGGCTGAGGCAGGAGGATGGCAAGATTGAGGTCAGCCTGGACAATTGTAGGAGATCCTGTCTCAAAAAATAAAAAATAGGGCTAGGGGTTTAGCTCAATGGTGCTGCCGCCTGCCCTGAAAGCACAAAGTTGCAAATTTCGGAGTTCAATCCCTGGTATCAAAAGATGATAATAATAATAATAATAAATAAAGTAAAATAAAAAAGTGTTGAGGATGGAGTTCAGGGGTAGAGTGTTCCCAGACTCAATCCCCCGTATAGGGAGCTGTGAAGGAAGAAAAAAATTAGGACCCCAAAGGGTCCTACCCACGGGGGTGGCTCTTCAGGGCCAGCCAGAAGGATCCCTGGTGGTGGTGTTGGGGCAGAAGGAGGCCCCAGAGTCAGGGGAAGAGTCTGAGCTGAGAGGAGGAAGCCAGGTGGGGCGACACACACCTGTAATCCCAGCACTCCAGAGGCTGAGGCAGGAGGGTCACCAGGAGTTCCAAGCCAGTCTGGACCGCACAATGAATTCAAGGCCATCTGCATGACCTGAACTACATAGTGAGACCCAGTCTCAAAAAAGAAAAAAAAAAATAGAGGGAAGGGCAGGTGGAAGAGGTGTGGGGGGACCCAATGTGAGCTGGGGATGAGCCCCACGGGGTCGACACTGGCAGCCCCGGAAAGGACAGAGCCACCGGGAACACAGGAGGCCGTCTGTCCCTGAGGGGCACAGCGGCTGGAGGGTGTGAGAAGGGACTGCTGAGCACCCTCCTCCCTCGGGGAAAGGTCAGAGGAAGAAAAGGGGCAGGGGGGCCACTGGGAGAGAGGGCAGGAGGTCGGCCACCCCGCCCTCCCTGCAGATAAAGGCCGTGCATGCACCGCCCATCTCACAGAGCCCTGGCCAAGGTACAGGTGGGTGCTGGGTGGTGGCGTAGGGGGACTGCTTCGAGGAAGCTGAAGAGCAGGCTGGAGGGACCGCGGCGGGGAGGAGGGCAGCCCACTGACCCCCACTTGCCCACAGAGCATCCTGCAGACATGAGGCTCTTCCTGTCGCTGCCAGTCCTGGGTCTAGTCCTGTTCATGGCTTTGCAAGGTAAAACTGGGATATGACACCTGCAGCCCCAGCCCCTAAGGAGGCTGAGGCAGGAGGATTACAAGTTGGAGCCCAGCCTGGGCAATTTAGTGACCCTGTCTCAAAATATAAAATATAAGCTAGGCATGGTGGTTCACGCCTGTAATGGGGAGGCCGAGGCAGGAAGATCGCCTCAAATTCAAAGCTACATAGTGAGTTCAAGGCCAGTCTGAGCTATGTAGGGAAACCCTGCCTCAAAAAAAAAAAAAAAAAAAAAAAAAAAAAAGACTGACATTTCTGCACCCTCTGTCCATGTCCCGCAGGCCCAGCCCCAGCACAAGCGGCCTCCGACTTCACCAGCACCCTGGAGGGGCTCCCGGCCAAGCTGAAGGAGTTTGGGAGCGCCCTGGAGAACAAGGCCCGGGCCGCCATCGAGCACATCAAGCAGAGTGACTTGCCTGCCAAGACCCGGTCAGGACCCTCCCCGGGGCTGAGCACAGTGCTGTGGTCACAGAGCTAGGTCCAGGGCGCTCAGATGCTGGGGGCAGGTTCCTGCCTCCCAGCCAAGCCACATGGCCTGGCTGGTGCTGGCTGCTGCAGACACCGTCCTGTCTGCGTGCTCTTGAGAAAGGAGTACCCCGACCTCAGCCTGCTCACCTGTGCAGTAGGGAAAAGGGGGGAAAGTAGGAAAAGACCCACACTTGTGCGTCTGGCAGATTGTAAATGCTCAGTCAGGCTGGGTTTGGACACACGGTACAGCACAGACCGGCATTGAACTCACAGCGATCCTACTGCCTCAGCCTCCTGAGGAATTATCATTATGCGACACCATGGCTAGCTTCACAGATATTTATTGAGCACCTGCTATGTGCCAGGAAGCCATGCAGTGTAGGGAATGGTACTATAATGAACAAGATGAAATCCCAGCTGGGATTCTAAGTGGGGAGCCGGACGGACGATAAGCCAGAGAATTTCCAGATAGGGCAAAGCACTAGAAAGACAATAATAAGACAGTGGTCGTGACAACCAAGTAGGACCTTCTATAGACTTTGGTGGCCCAGAGGGGGTGACTTTTTTTTTCGCCCCCTGGATACAGGGTCTTGTTCTATAGTCCAGGCTGGCCTTGAACTTACTACGTAGCCCAGGTTGGCCTTGAACTAGCAGAGATCCTCCTTCCTCAGCCTCCAGAGTGCTGGGGTTATAGGCACGTGCCACCATGTCCAGCAGAAAGTGACTTTTTTTTTTTCGGTACCAGGGATCAAATTCAGGACCTTGTGTTTCTGAGGCAGGCAGTGGAACCACTGAGCTAAACCCCCAGCCCCAGAAAGTGATTTTTCATTTGAGATCTGAATGATTGGGGAAATCCAGGCAGAACTAAACTGAGGAAGAATGGTCCCAGTGGACGGAAGGTGCAAAGGCCCTGAGGCAGGAAGGGCTGTAGATAAGGAGCACTTGGCCTTCCAGCCAGGAGAGGTTTAGGCAAAGGAGGGAGGGAGGCTTTGAGGTGCCCTTGAGGGAGTACCATGGGCAGGAGCTCCCTCAGAGGGTGAAAAGAGGAGTTAGTGTCAGGTGTGATGGTGCATACCTGGAATCCCAGGACTCAGGAGGCCAAGGCAAGAGGACTACCGCAAGTTTGAGGCCAGCCTGGCATACATAGCAAGACCCCATCTCAAAACTACAAAAAAATAAATAAAAAGGAAGAAGAGATGATAGACCTTGAAGGAGGGGATGGGACTTTCAGCGTCAGTTGCCCTGGTCCATCTGAGGAAACTGAGGCACTGGTGATGTCCCATTCAGGGGTCCTCTTCATCCCACAGTGGGGACAGAAATCCAGGACAGGGAAGATGAGGGAGGCGGGGTGGGGGTGCATGCAGTGACCCCTTCCCCTTGTCTCCCGACAGGAACTTGTTGTCCGAGGCTGTCAGCAAAATTCGGGAGAAGTTCAAAGCCTCCTTCTCCTAAGCACCTGAGGGCCGCACCTGAGCGCGGACTTCTTCGTGATGCCCAGGTCCTCCCCAATAAAGATCCTACCGAGATTCCCCTGTGTGTGCTTCACTGGGGCCGCAAGTGTGGGGCCGCACCTTAGGGACCCTTGCCGGCACCCCCAGGTGCTTCTTTGCTTTTGTCTTTTGAGACGGAGACTCGGAGACTCGCTATGTAGCTCAAGCTGGCTTTGCACTTACGAACTCTCAGCGATCCTCCTGCCTCAGCTTCTCCAGGGCTGGGATTACAGGAGTGGGCCACCACACCTGACTAAAAGGCTGTTTTAAGACGTTGCATTCCTACAAGCCCTTGTGAGAGTGAGGGTGGCCCTTTTTTATTTTCACCCTGTGCAGTGAGCCGCTCCCCAAACCCCTCTAGCTCTTTATCAGTGGTCACTCCCCTGGCCTGGCCTGACCACCTGGTCAATTGCCTTCCTGCTCTCTGTGTCCCATTAGCACAGGGCATGTCCCCTCCAGGCTGTCTTGTTCCCTGCAGTTCCCCACCGTCCCTTAAGCAGAACCTGGCACATAGCAGACACCGTAAATCCTCCTTTCAGAACTCTCTGCTAGAGCCTTTCCCCCAGCACGGGCCCTGAATCTGAGGCAGTAGCCTCACTACTTCAAGCCCAACCTGGGCAGCACAGGAAGACCCTGTTTCAAAACAAGAGACAAGCCGGGCATGGTGGCGCACGCCTGTAATCCCAGCACTCTGGAGGCTGAGGCAGGAGGATCGCTGTGAGTTTGAGACCAGTCTGGGCTACGTAGTGAATTCCAGGTCAGTCTCAACTACACAGTGAGATGCTGTCTCAAAAAACCAACAAAACAAAGAAGAAACAAAAAAATGGGGCCCAGGGTAGAGTCCCTAGGTCCAAGTATTGCCTGGAATCCATGAAGGAACAATTCATTCACTGTCCATGGAACAGCTGTGGGGCAGATGTGGATCTCCTACTCCTACCATTCGTGAATTCCCGTTAACTGGATTGGACTTCCGCAGCCCAAACAGCTGTTTGGGGGTGTGCACAAAAGGCCCCGATCACACCCAGGCAGAGCCCTGGACTTTGGCCCCAGTGGAGGTGGCATTCTCAGCCCCACCCTGACGCAAGCATGCAGGGGAAGCCAGGGGTCATGGAGGGTGTCTGGAGGAGGGGAGATTGGGCTAAATTTTGCTAACTTCCAATTAGCCAAAGAGAATTGCAGAAGCATATAAGAGCACTACAATGTGTGGTTTGGTTTGGTTTTTTTGAGACAGGGTCTCACTATGTAGCCCAGGCTGGCCTTGAACTTGAGGAGATTCTCCTGCCTCAGCCTCCCCGAGTGCTGGTATTAAGGGTATGTGTGTGCCAAGAATCGCCAAGAGCGACACAACTTCTTCCATGAATGTTTACTATACAAACATTAACTAACAACTTCATAAGAATGGATGAATGCAACTGCTTTGGAAAACAGTTTCACAGTTCCTCAAGTTAAACAAGCTGGCCATGGTAGTGCACACCTGTGATCCCGGCACTCTGGAGGCTGAAGCAGGAAGGTGGAGGTGGAGACCAGTTTGGGCTACAGTGTGAGTTTAAGGCCAGCCTGGACTGTATGGCAAGACCTTTTCTCAGAAAAAAAAAACAATTCAAGGAGCTCAGCAAATGATCAAGCACTGTCACTCCTAGGATCCACTCAAAGGATCCATCCATGCAGTGCTTGCTCTTAAGGGCAAAACCTAGAATAACTCAGATGCTCATCTGCAGATGGATGAAGCAGTCACTGTGTGCACATCTAGTGCCTGCATTTAGACAGAGGAATATTATTCAGTCATTACAAAGGCGTATGGCCAGGTTTTTGAGAATAACAAACTGTGCCACGGATTTAGCTCAGTGGTTTCACTGCCTGCCTTGCAAGCACAAGGATCTGAGTTCAACCCCTGGTAGAAAAAAAAAAAAAAAAAAAAAAAAAAGAGAGAGACAATAACAAACTGAACAGCAGCCAGTAGCTGGGGAGGCTGAGGCAGGAGCGTCACAAGTTCGAGACTAATCTGGACAACTCAGCGATTTAACAAGACCCTGTTGCAAAATAAAAATAAAATGGCCTGGTGATTATAACTCAGTGCAGGGGCCCTGGGTTTAATCCCCATACCAAAAAAAAAAAAAAAAAAAAAAAAAAAAAAAAAAAAAAAAAAAAACAAAACACAAAAAAACAAAAAACACACACACACAAAAACAAAAACAAGTGTGGACACATGATACCAGAGGGATGAGTTGGGGAAAACACCGGGGAGGCAAAAGCAGAATTGTGGACAAGGGGAAGAGGCAGGACCATTGGTATTTACAGGCTTTCTGCGGGATGATGAGAATGTTCTAGAATTCCTGGTGATAGTTACACAACCTTGCAAATGTACTAGACCCTGGGGAATTGCACAAAGTGTGTGACTTTATTTATGGGTTTTGCAGTGACTGGGATGGAAGCCAGAGCCGAGCACGTGCTAGATAAGCCTTGTACGGCTGAGCTGCATTCCTAGTCCTAATAGGATGAACTTTGTGGACTGTGAATGAGCTAAGAAAGTGAATGAATGCACAGTGATCTCCTGGGGAGAAGGCAGAAAGAGTGGAGCGTGGGCCGGTCCTGGTGGTTACGCCTGTAATCCTTGCACTCTGGGAGGCTGAGGCAGGAGGATTTCAAATTGGAGCCCAGCCTGGACAAATGAGCGATTTAAGAGAAGCGTTCAAACCCCAGGAGCAAAAACAGAACAAAATTAGTGATTTAGAAAGAACCTGTCTCAAAATAAAAAATACAAAGCGCTGAGGATGCAGTTCAGTGTGAAGTCCTGAATCCAACCCCCAGACTCACACACACACCCCACAAAAAGGAGCATTTCAAACTTTTTTTCACCCTAGACTTCCCAGCAGAACACTGGGGAGGTAAGTGGTTAGAAAAGCTTCTTCTTCTTCTTTTTTTTTTTTTTTTTTTTTTTTTTTTTTTTTTTTTTTTTTTTTTTTTTTTTTTTTTTTTTTGGTTTTTTGCGACGGTCTCACTATGTGTTTGAGACTGACCTGGAACTCACTATGTAGCCCAGGCTGGTCTCGAACTCACAGCGATCCTCCTGCCTCAGCCTCCCTAGTGCTAGGATTACAGGCCTGAGCCATCATGCACGGCTAAACTAGAGGCTTCTTAGAGTGTTCTCTTTAGCGACTTCTGTAGAAAATGATCAAGGAGAGCCCAGCGTGGTGGCGCACACCTGTGATGCCAGCCCTCGGGAGGTTGAGGCAGGAGGCTCGCCGTGACTTTGAGGCCAGCCTGGGCGCCATAGCAAGTCTTGTCTGAAATAAAAACAGTACAAAAGGAAAAGGTGACGGGGCTGGAGCGGGCCTCACTAGGGCCCAGAGGACCGTGGTTCTAGAGGAGGGGGGAGCGATGTGAGGGTTCGGAGCCAGACCCTGTGACCTGGAGGGTGCAGCTTGCAGGGTGGCAGATGCTCCCTGCCTGTAGTTACACGCGGATCTTGGGGTGCACCCACCCGGCCCCCTCTCCTGCTGGCCTCCGCTCCCATCCCCCTCCACCCCACACTTGTGCTGCCTCTGAGGTCCACCCCCATGACCTTCGGCCTGTCCCTGTCCCTAAGGTGAACAAACATTGCAGGCAGCAAACAGCAAACACCCACGGCCCTCCCTGTGCTGACCTTGGAGGGGCAGAGGACAGAGACCTCACTGCCCTCTCGGGTGCTGGTGGAGAGCGACAGAGGTTGTCCTGGATTGGCCTGATACTGAGAAGGTGGCTCAAACCCACCGCTGCCCCTGCAGCCTCCCTTTGCTCTTCTGTAGTGCTCTGTTCTGAGACAAGGTCCAGGCTGGCTGAGAACTTGCTGAGATCCTCCTGCCTCAGCCTCCTGAGTGCTGAAATGACAGGTGCCACCACCATGCCTGGCTTTCATCCTCAAAACAGGAAGCTCAAAGACGCCCATCTCACGGGGCTGTTGGGACCCCCGATGTACACAGGTAGCACAGGGAAGAGAGTGAGTGATAAAGAAAAAACAGCAGGACCAGGGATGTAGCTCAGTGGTGGTGATGCGTGTCATCCCAATTATTCGAGAGGCTGAGGCAGGAGGGTGGCAAGTTCAAAACTGACCTGGACTTATCTCAAAATTTAAAAGTTAAGGGGGTTGAGGAGATAGCTCAGTGGCAGAGCAAATGCCCAGCACACGCGAGGCCCAGGTTCCATTTCTAGCACAACCACCACCACCAACAAAAAACCCTGTTGGCCTTCACTTCAGGCCATTCCACCATAAATGTGCCCTTGGAGCCTCGTTCAGGCACACAGTTCCATGGTGCTGATGCCTGTGAGCTGCTGTGTCACCGGCTTCTATCCCAGAACGTCTTCATTGTCCCCGACATGAAGTTTTGTTTTGTTTTTTCCATTTTACCGATTGAAAAAAATTTTTTTGAGATGAGTCTCCCTAAGTAGCCCAGACTGGCCTTGAGCTCACAATGATCCTCCTGCCTCAGCCTCCCTCCAGATGGCAGGCCCGAGTCACCACACCCACTGTGTTCAATCAGTGCCCTCAAAGGTGGGTTTTGGTCCCATTCTACAGAGGAGAATGGAGCGGAGAGGGGCTGTCTGGGGAGGTGGAGCCGGGAGTCCAGCTTGGTTGGGCCCAGGA